CAGAGCAATTTCTGTGCAGCAGAGCCTCTGAGCTCCCATTAAGTCAGAGCCACGGTGGCCTGATGCAAGAGGATGTCCTGTTCTCCCACGAGAAGTTTTTACCCGCAAAGCAGCATGCTGCTGTCAGAGCTTGGGTTAAACTGAAGAAATGTGCTCAGCAGCAGGTCAGTGAATGAATAGATGAATGAATGAATGAATGAATGAACAAACGAACGAATGAATCCCAAATAAGAATAGGACTCAAGACCTTGATCCCATCAGCCCTTGACCTTATCCAACCTCCCAAATTCTGGGAGTCAAGGCAGAAGGCCAGGGGTGGCCCTTTGCCTAACGTCAGCCAAAGGTCCAGTCCAAGCAGGGCACCTGGGAGACATGGAGTCACCCCCTCCCAGAACCAGTCCTCAGCACCTGCTAGCCCTGGGCACTCAGGGCAGGGAGAGGAGGTCCTTCCGTGCACCCATTCTACCCCAAGCAGCAAATCCCACCGAAGTGCAAGCTTCCGGAAAGAGCCTGAAATAGACGCAGATTCTGTCCCCGTTTCTCCGTTCCCCCTCCTGCACTTAAGTGCCTATTAGGGACAAAGGGATGGGAACAGAGGACAATAACATCTGTTTTTCCAACAAGCAGTGACAATGCGGATCTGGGGGTGGAGCTCACGTCAGCACTGGGCCCAGATGCAGACCTGCAGCTGCGGAAGCAACTGGCACTTGATCATTTCTCAGAGATTATCTCCCAATCAGCAGCTCCTCGCCTGTTTGTTATCCCCACCCGGGGAGCCATCGCCGCTCCCCCGCTCTCCGCAGGGTCAGGCCTGCCGCTCTACTTGCGTTTTGTCTCTGACGTGGGCGTTTCAGGAGCAACCTGGAAGCCACAATCCTCCAAAGCCACCCCTGCCTTCTAGAGGCTGGGATCGAGGTTGGCGGCATGGTTGGGGAGAGCACTGGACTCGGAGTCACAGGACCTGCCTTCCAATCCTGGCTGGGCCACTGGCTCTGCCACCTCGGGTGGCTGTATCTGCCCAGGGACATCGGGAGCAAGGTGCTTAATCCTGCCGCAGGAGCCTCGGCTGCCTCAGCTACAAAATCGGAACCGTTTTAACTCCATCGTGGAGTCGCCATAACTCTCAAAGGCGAGAACACACGTTATGTGAGCCTCTCCCGGGTCAGACAGCAAAAGGGCGGAGAACAAGGCTGGTGAGACCCTGCAGTGTGGGTCTCCTTAGATGATATTGTCCGGCGTGAAGATGATGCCTCCCGAATTCGCGGGAGCCATGCATCTGCTCCCGATGGGAGGGATGGCGGAGATAATCTCTGGGGTCAGACAGCACCACGCACAGAATCATCCAGCCCCTTGCCAAACAGTGGGAACCCCGAGACCCTCCCCTCCCTCTGCCAGGCCCCTTGACCCTACCTCTCCTATCTCTCCTCCAGCACCCAGGGTGGCCGGCATGTGCAGGGGGAGCTCAGGGCAGCCGGTGAGGGGAGGGAAGCGAGGGGAGAGGCCGGAAGGAGAAGGGGAGGGAAGACGACAGACAGGCAGCTGTGGTTCTTTCAA